CAGAGCTTGTAAATCTCAGGAAATGTTTTTTTGCGTTCTGTGTATCCCGCCCTACGCTACTGCCATATATGTGTCTGGCCTTAATGACAACAAGGTTATTATTTGTGTAAGGGGAAAAAAAACAAATACTTGATGGGGAAATCATTAATTTAATAATGCCAGTCTGCACATGTTTCAGTAACCTAAAAAGAGAGTTGCAACTCGGTTGCGTATTTTTGGATGTTCTAAAAGCCTGAATGCTTGCTTCTTGTAGGACGTTAGGGTTGAGGATATGTGATTTTACAAGTCTGCATGAGGGAACTGGGTAATTTTCTTAAAGGATAGAAATCATAGTCCCACAAGAAATACGAAGCTGACTTGCACTGCATACCTCAATTTTAGAGCCATTCCCCGATGCAGTTTTAGCTACTGATAAAAATGCATTTCAGTCTCCTGTAACCATCCTTTCAGAAAGATGCAATTTTTACTGTAAGTTGTCTGATCCTGTTTTAAGTGAGGAAGGAAACCTGGGAGAGGTTGTCTCTTTAAATCAGATCTGCAGTGTTGATGGACCCTCTAGCAGGCATGGTAAGAACCATTCTCACCTCTGCAGCAGGGAGCTTGACCATAAAGATCTCCACATTCAATCAAAACATTTTCTGTTTTAATATGCACTGTACCAGTCCTATTCCCATGGTTACAGCTCCTTCGGTTGTGTCTAGCATGTTGGAAAATTGAAGCAGAGCACATTTGCTCGCACAGGACTTTAAAACATAATGAAAGCAGCCCTGTTGTGATTTGCATTTTAAATTCTCTCTCTCTCCCTCTCCCTCTTTCTCTTTCTCTCTCTCTCCCTCCCTCCCTCCCCCCTCCTCATTGTACAGAATGCTGTGGCGATAGCTTCCGTTCATCTGCCACACTCTGCCTTCCCTTCATCTGCAGCCTGGCAATCTGTTGATAACTCCTCTTGCAAGCTACAGTTTATCGCTTTTCGGAATGGAAAACTCTTTCCCAGCACCGCAAACTCGTCTCACCTTGCAGGCTACGGGAAGCAGAGGGTCATTGGCACGCCCGTAGTCTTCGTTAAAATAGGTAAGTGCTTTGCATTGCCTTTTTTTTTTTTTTTAAAGGAAATTTCTAAAGCCTGGCTATACACGAGAGCCTCTCGTATAATGGTGCAATGTAGCACGCAGGTAGGCTGATCTGAGAAATGCTTCTGCTCTAACAGAAACGTCTTGTTTTGTTACCGGTGTCTTCGTATTTTAAAAAGGAAACTTGTACAGCTGGGAAGCTTGGCAATTGTAAATACGATAGGATCCTCTTTTGTAGCTTGGCGAAGTTTATCAGAAAGTAGAAGAAAAAAAAGAGAGAGAGAGAGGAGGAAATGGAATGTTGCTTTTTAGTTCTGATTATACCCATAGAAAGTCTGGTTCCTATTTAAGATAGGTTGCAGTCCTGTTGCCATGTACATTGATAGTCATCAGTGTATCTCTTAAGATGGTAAATGTACGGTAGAAGAAGTGTTTTTGTTGATGAAAGTAATGGGTTTCATACTCTCCTTTTAGTGGAAGATTCAAACCATGATCTACTAAATATTTCATTATATCCCGAATTGGCTTCACATTTTAGAAGGTTACAGTTTAATTTTTGGACTACAAAATTGTCTCTGATGTTAATTCCATCAAAGATATATTCGTTTACATTTACTACATTGTTGTTTGAAACCCTCATTTTGATTCAGGGCATTGAGGCAGCCCTGTTGTTTGCAGATCAGCCTAATAAAATGGCAATTGTAGACAATATTAACTATTCCAAACTTTTGTACATTGCTTTCTGCTGATAGACCAGGAGAGGAATTTTTGCTCTCTCCAATGTCTGTGTATGTGTACAAAAAAATTGCTATCGGCTCCTATAAAGAGGATATAGCAATAAAGCATTTTCCACTTCGTTGCTTTAATTCAGTTTGTTCCTTTGGCAGATGGGTGCAATTTCGGAAACCTCACCAGTCCTCTTATTATAACGCTGAAGCACTTTACCCAGGGCATAAACCCCATTGCGGTCTTTTGGGCTTTTGACCTTCTGGATGGACATGGAGGCTGGTGGGGAGAAGGGTGCCACATAATTAGCTCTGCAGACAATATTACCACTCTTCATAGTACTCACTTCGGTAACTTTGCAGTGCTAATGGTGAGTATATAACTTCACGTATGTGTCTGTGTGTGAATCTGCTTGCCTGCCTTTACTTAGCAGTATCTGGTTATTAATCTTGGGAATTAAATGAGGGTAACTTAAAAGAGCCGTGCTCGATACTTAATAATACATAACTATATTACCTGCTAGCAGGCCTTGTTATGAATGATTTAATGAAAAATGAAAGTTCTATCAAGATACTACAGTAATGAAAATACATTATCTATTGGTGTATACATACATACGTATAAGTAAATACAGATACATAGACACACACACACACACATTAATACATATTCATTCCTCTATACTTCTCAAGAAAGGATGTCTTTTACATATCTACTGCTGTATTGATCATATTAATTAATTGCTGGCTTACTGCAATATTGAATCGTTAACAAATGGAAAAAAACAAAGATTGCTTGCTTGACTGAACAAGGATCCTGTAGTCCTTTTCTGACAGTTCTTGAAATTCAGGTCCCTGTGCTGACGATAGCATTCTTTTTACTAAATGGCTGCTTTTAAAGGGGGGGAAAAAAAGCCATATTTATGTGTACTGCTAACACAAAGGCTGCTGAGGCTTTTCCTCAGGCATATTTGCAGCCCACAATGCAGTTATTTAATAGTTTTATTAACTGGGAAGTTACGGGGGGCAGACACAAAAAGCATATTAAATTAGACAGCGTATCAACAGTGAAGTAAATGTAAACAGCGGATGGAACGTATGAGGGAGACTTACGTTTTCTGCAGCCTACGGATGGGTTGCTCAGCCTCGGGAGCTCTTTGAAAGGAGGTAGTGTTCAGTCATCTTCTCCCCCTAATGTTGAATCCGGCATTCATTCCAGGAGATGCTTGTGGAGAGAAGGTGCCCTTTGTGAGCGCCACTGAAAGGTTCATACTTGAGTAAATAATGCAATGTGCGTAGAATGTGTAGAGAATGTGCAAACAAAACATATGACAGGAATTGAAAGGACATGTGCAGAGAATGCCAATCTGCTGCTGTCAGATGGAGCACAGATGTCAGCCGAGTCAGTGACAACAACTATCTAAATACTGTACCAATCTTGCTTCCTACTTTATTAAACGGAATGCCTTCAGTATCACACGAGCCATTTGTTTTCACTTGCTGCATCCTATATTAGGATGCCCTAAAGATCCGGTGATTGAAAGTTCCGCTTTCTAAGCATGCAAAACAAACACGGCTATATTGGAACACTTTGGTTAGCTCTTGATGGAGGAAGCGGGGGAAATCTGTTGGGATCCCTATAACCTTTTCCCAAAGTACCTGTTGGAGCAGATACCACACCCATTTCAGCTGTCAGTGATGTCCTTAAAACTTTGCATTTATAAATATAAAGTGGAGAAACTTCTTTCTACTTTTGTAGACCACCTGGAATAAATTGTATGTATTTTAATTTGCAGTTCGTATCATTTTGAGGGGTACAAAATGTCTCCTGTTTAATAGACTTCACATAGACACGAATGAGTTAAAGACTGCAATACTCCTGGATACTTCACTGTAATGTCTATTCGAATATCAAAAACAGCCTAAACATTTTATGAACACAGATTTGACCTCATTGAACTCTAATGTACCATGATTCCACTAGAAAACAAGCCAATTGATATGTTCATTTTGGGATTTCAACAGATTTTCTGTAATTATCAGGAGAATCATTTAAAAAGCATTATTAGTGGATGAATTATATGCTAGTATAGTTTGGAAATTAAAGCAGGAGATATTAAAGCAGAAGATCTAAGTTGAAGTTGACTGAAAAGTACTACAAGATATTCAACAATGTGTATGTTCAATTTGGGCAAAAAAAATCCTGTTTGTACGAGCTTTATTAGAATTGAGATAGTACAATCTATATTGCAGTCAGTTGTGAAACACATTGGGTGTCCTTGAGCAAGTCACTCTCTTTCAGCACTGGGGAAGATCTGTGGATGTGCAAGCATTGCCTACAGAAGGTTCCAGATTCAAATCATGGCTTTTCTAATTGTGCTAGGAGAAACTACTTCCTGAAATTCTGGACTCTGCCTATTGTTGACATTTATTAAGTTAGATGTACCAGTGGTTCAACTTAGGAAGAAGTAACCTCATCTGTTTTGCAAGGTTACTAAAGTGATATAGGGATAAACTTCAAATATATAAACAGGCCGTAGGGAATACAACCTTCATTATAATGATAGGAGTCTTTTTGTGAGATATTCTTTGTTGGGATATATAGGTTTCTGTTGATGATCTTCTCCTTTTGAAGTGAAAAATAACTGGAGAGCTCTAAATGAAATGGTAGCCTTTAAAAATGAACAGAAGGGTTAGCTTGTAGTAAAACAGATGCGTTAGCAAGATGACTGAGGTTTTCAATGTAATTTCTGTTGCTGCAAATGTAACGTAACATTTGAGAACTATGGGTTCAAATTACCCTCTTCATACTTCTCATTCTACTTGACTGCTTATTGGTGTCTGTCACGGTTTTTCTACATAATGATGCTCCCTCAGAATTAGCAGTGTTCAGCTGTTAAAGGGTTGTTGAGGCCACTGAAAAATAATTTATTTTGAGTTCTGTTCAGATTAAAAGTTGATTGAATAGAGTGTTTCAGAACGTCCTGTATCTATGAGAATCTCTCTGGCTTTATAATTATTAAAATGCTTATATCTACTAGAGGCTATACTAGTGTGCATGATGAATATGAGGACCATCTGATGCAACTCTGGTGATCCATTTATCACCATGGTTGATTTGGCTGATCTCTATCCTTCTTGAAGTTGCACACTCATTGGAAAAGAACCAACATCCTAGCTAGAAAGAGTGTACCAATCTTCAGTCAATGGTATACAATAGGTATGCCTCCCTGCTACAACCTCCAAACAAATAGTANACAATAAATAAAATATTATTTTAAAATACATTAAAAAAAATAAAAGAAAAAAACCCGGGTCACTTACCAGCAGGCAGAATCAGCAGCTCTTCGATGCGATGGATCCGACTCCGATGCAATGGATGGAAGCAGCAGGGAGCAGGCAGGCAGAGGCAGCAGGAACAGGTAAGACACTGGACTGGAGGGACAAGGCCAGGGTTGTCAGTAAGCAGGTCGCCAGGCAGGCTTAGCCAGCCAGGCGAGGCTGGAGAGGGATTGTGGGGGGCTTTCGGTCACATGGCGTACGCCAGCCCGCGGCTTTCGCTAGGGAAGGCCTGAAGGTCTTCCCTTGCGAAAACTAGGCTGCCACTTTTGCTACCGCCGCTGCCGCAAGGCCTGCAGCTTTCGCTAGGGAAGGCCTGAAGGCCTTCCCTTGTGAAAGCTAGGCTGCCGCCCACCCGCCTTCGGGCCTTCCCTCACAAAAACTAGGCCGCTGCCCACCTGCCTTTGGCTGCATGGTGTACGCCAGCCGGTGGCTTTCGCTAGGGAAGGCCCGAAGGCCTTCCCTTGCGAAAGCTAGGCTGCCGCCGCCACCCACCCACTTTCAGCCACACGGCGTATGTCAACTCGTGGCTTTCACGAGTTGGCGTAAGCTAGCCGAGTCCCGCCCCCCCCTCGCGCTTAGTTGCTTACCTGAGGGAAGCAGCAAGCTCCTGGAAGGCGAAGCGAAGGGAGGACCGATCAGCTTGGAAATAAAAGAGAGGAATGTTGGCCGTTGGCGCCTCGCCTTTAAACAGGTCGCTCATGGCTTTCACGAGTTGGCGTAAGCTAGCCGAGTCCCGCCGCCCCCCTCGCGCTTAGTTGCTTACCTGATAACTCAACAGTGTACAAAAACTGAATATAAAACCTATAAACCCAAATGAAATAGAGCATCGTCATAACACCAGCGTCCAAGTAAGCAATGACTGTAGGAGATGACCAGGCTGAGCTGATGGAGAGGTCAAACATGTNGAAATACTAATGATCTGGTGGTCATTTTGACAAAACCTTTCTTAGCGAGCACCTAGAAGCCAAGAGGAACATTAATGGAAAAATAAAGTCCCAAAAATGACTGGGAAGTTTTAAGGCAGGGTGACACTCAAGTTTTCAAGCTTTCTGCAAGTCAGCCATTGTCCTTGTTTCCCATGAGAGACTGCAGGCAAATTCAAGTTTGAGAAGTCCATTGATGCTGAAAGATCATTATACTGTCATCAACAGTTATAAAACAAAACAAAACACCATAGTCTCTTGATGTTCCTGTTTTTTCACTAAGAAGTTTATCTGAGTCTTTTTCTCAGTAGGCCTTTTGCCTCTGCTTTGCTTTGTCATCTATCTTTGGGCCCAGATATTTTAGGAAAAATATTATAAAATTATTTATGGGTGGGCTGCTCAATTTTTATAGTGAATATTAAGCTAACTGTGGTAGAAGTTTCTTCTTAGGCATTTTACATTTAGAATCAAATGGAAAAGGACGAGGATCTAATCAGCAACTTCAGAAATGATAACAGTTTTAAATTATTCACCACTCAATTTTATTTCATTCCATTTTATATATTTGCAGTTTACCCTCTTTTCCTAGGGACTGTCTGGACAAGACAGATAGATACTCAGCTTGTACTTGAAAAGCAATAGATAATTTACAATTTCCCACAATCCGAAATAGACAAGCAGTTTTAGTGCTGGACAAACATGGAGTTTTACTTTAGAAGAATCAGTCTCAAACAAACTGACGAAGTGTTTTACCCAAGATTTGAGGGTGGGAAGGTAAAAACTAGTTAAAGAGAAATACAAAACAGAGCCAAGATTGGATTATTCATAAAGTGCTGGCGTAATTCTCAATAAACACTTACTACTCTGAATATGAATCTTTAAAGGAAAATAAATTCTTGGAAGGTATTAACGCTTTTAATTTTCTTTAAAAAAAACCAACAACAGCCAGTGTTTATTTGAAAAAAATGATTGAGTTCTCATGCTGAAATCACTGGTATATATTATTGTGGCTACAATCCTTTTGTGGGTTTCCATGCATTGATTTTTTTTAAAGCAATTTTTTTTTAAATTACCTATTTGCTCATCCAGAACTCCTCACTACTTCTGGTAGGTTGGAGTCCATTTTTGTCCCAAATCCATTTGATCATGGATCGGGTACT